AGACGGCAATCCGTTCCAATTGGAACGGATTAACTGGTTTTCAATGCATTCCTATGGAAAATGGTGTTTCACAGAACGATGTTTCACACAACGTTGATTTTTTTGGAACCAATTAACATCGTTGTGTGAGGCACCACTGTACTCCCACCACAACCAGTCCATAGTGTTATTGGGTTGCCCCAAAGGTACCCACCATCAAACTCCAAATGCAGTATGCTGGCTTTGTAGATTACGGGTGGAGGGGCAGGTGGCCACTATAGTGTTTTGTATAAGCTGAGAAGACGCCACAGTATTGCTAATTATCTTCTCCACAACGTGGAGTGTCATACCACAGTATCCAGCTGTGAGCCCCAATAAATGAAGACACAGTTGCTGAATCATTTCCATCCAGTTGGGTAGTTCTGTCCCCCTCTTCCAAGGTCGAGCCAGCATGAAGATGCCACCCAAGCCTTCTATGACATCCTTGGAGGTTGCAACTGGTAACGCTGTGCTATTCTTTGCCTCCCTGTCACTCTAAAACACCCCCAATGAATCAGCCAGTCTCATCTGAAATGGAGGGGGCTGTTTCGTGATCTACAAATCAAGTGCCAAGCACTGGGATGAAGCAAAAGTCCTGTTTGTCCTGCTTTTGGTCTGATTAAGTCTCCATTAGTGCAGCTGAGGCTGGACACATGTAAGCAAAGGGTCTGAGCCCAGTGCCAAGTCAGAATTGTGCCAGGAGCATGCTATCAAGAGAAAGCTGGGGTTGGGAGTCAGTAAATCAGTGTGTGCAGTTTGAAGGGCTCAGGCAATCAGCAAGACCAAAAACAGTACAGGATATAGGATTTAAAAAATCAGGCAGGAAGACAAAGTTATAAAAATCCCATGCATCAAGTCCAGAGCTAGAAATGTATTTGCATCTAGAAAGGCCTCAGTATGGTTGAGAGCTTTTTGAACAAAAGGCTTCTGCCTCCACCAAGCTCCAGCCAAGGCCAGTCAGGCACCCTCTGCAGAGCTCAAAACCATTCTTACTCTCAGAGAGCCTTGACTGCTCGTGAGCACTGCACCTCAGAGGGAGGGCCCGAGTCTGTCATTACAGCCAGTTTCTTTTGCTGGGATTTGTGATGACACAGTATGGAACTGAGGAAGGGCTTGCTCTCCCACTTGGGATGGAGATTAAAAACTGAGTGACAGATCCTGCCTTCTGAATCAATGCTGGAGTTATATCCTGTCAAGGATATGCTCTTTTACTACAGGAAAGCTAGAATTTTCCTCCCTCATTTAATGGACAGACATGACTTCTATATTTTTTGCACTCTAACCTCGTGACACAGTGGTTAAATTGCAGTACGGCAGCCAAGACTCTGCTCATGGCCTGAGTTCAATCCTGGGCTCAGGTAACTGGCTCAGAATTGACTTAACCTTCCATCCTTCTGAGAGAGAAGTATTTCCAAGACTCTAACAATTAACATTCAAACAAATCTTTAAAAAGTCATACCAATAGTCATAGCTCTCATCCCAGTTGTCAAAATGAACTAGGAAACGACTGTCCACGATGTCAGTTACCGTAGCAACACATATAAATGCAGGGTTCTTTCTGTCTACTGCTTCAAGCTTCATCCCTACTCGAAATCCTGATGGAATCACCGTCTAAATAAAAACAGATTTTAAAATGATGGGCTGATTTTGTTTAACTGCATAAAGCAACCCAATATAAAATAGGGCAAAATGCTGATTAATTAGGAGAAAATATACAACAGCCTGCTAACTATTAACAACAAACAATCTTGTAATGAAAAATAAAGGTACTGAAAATGCTATACTTGTGTTCATCTTTAACAAACTTTGTAAAATATTATATCTTGCCCAATACCTACAGTATGTGTCATGTAACATCAAGCCACTTCCAGTTGGTGGCACTCCAAACAGTGTTTTCAGGGTATGTGAAATATTTAAGGAATGTATTCGCGAAGGCTTTCACGGCCGGGATATAATGGTTGTTGTGGGTTTTTTGGGCTCTTTGGCCGTGTTCTGAAGGTTGTTCTTCCTAACGTTTCGCCATTCTCTGTGGCCAGCATCTTCAGAGGACAGCACTCTGGAATGGTTTCACCAATCCTGAGTGAATTTCCATAAACAAGCAGAGATCCAAACCCACACCTCCTGCATAGAATTGGGGATGAACTGAACAATGAACCAGAAAAACCAACAAACTGGGCTGGTTCATGGTTTGGTTTGTGACCCTGTTCGGCCAAAGCAAAACAAAACGCTATACTTTTTCCCCTTGGCGCTTCATTTTGTTTGGCAAAAGGAGATGCCCACCTGACACCTCCCCTTTCCCACTGCCCTGTTAGCTCCCGACATGCTCCTGCTGCCACCACCATCCTCATGCACAGCAGGCCCAGCTTCCCTGCCAGAAGCTGGCCACTACCTCTGAGGATGCACCTCCCTACCCGCTGGGCTGCTGGAGTTTGCACGGAGGCAGCAGCTAGCTGCTGGCAGTGAGGGCCGGGCCCACTGCCTCTGAGGATGGTGGTGGAGGTGGCCATGGCAACAGAAGCAAGAGCAGGGGGGTAGGTAATAGGTCTCCCCCCCCCCACGCCACCCTGCAGGCACAAACTGGAAAAATGAATCACATCCTGTGGGGGTTTGAGGTGGTTTGTGGTTAGCTACAAATCATCATAAATTACCAGTTTTCCAGGAGATGTGGGTTTTCCCATTTGTACCCATATCTAACCCTGAGTCCTAGAGTCTAACACTCCATTCATTAAAACAGATAGACTCTCCATTGGCTAGTTTAGCATGACATAAACATGGAGATCTGCTTTATGTCTGAGACATATCCTAAAAGGGGTTGGTTAGAAGCAATAATTTCTCCACCTGATACGGAGAAAAGACATCTTGATAGAACAAAAACAGAAGGTGAATTCAAACACCCATTTACCATGATGTATATATATGTAACCACCATGCAAGCTATACACTGTCAGAATTTCTTACGTGCAATGCACAGACTGTGTAGGTTGGGATCAGTCCATGTCAGATTAGAAACTTAAGCCTACCCCTCCCCCCATCCACCCAATCCCACCCCTTCCTTTCCTTATGCATGGCAGCAGCTTAGAGTGGTCTAGTGTAAAGAAAGTTAAATAAGCCAGCCCATAGAGTCCTCAGCATGTCCTGAGATGTGCAATTTCCCCCAAGGATTACTTACACTGCATTAGGACCTGGGAAATCTATACTTCCTGAGGGACAGAGGTGGTCTAGACAGGTAGTGCCACCGCACCAGCAAAAACTATGGCAGCTCAGTAAAGTGTGCTTAATGAAGAGGGAGTATTAGGAGGTAAGTGGCATAAACAGAGGGTTAGAGAGTTCTTGTATGGATTGGGTGAAAATTATAGTCAGAAGAATCTGGAGATTGTAGTGGTCATTTTTTCTCTCCAGTGAAATAAGATTCAAAAGGCTATCTAAATACACACTTCCAGGCTTGGAATTACATGTTCTCTGGTACCTCTGCTGGAGATCACTGCAGCTTGCAGTGCTCTTTTTTCCTGACATGTGCCCCTCTTACAGCTGATGCCACTACAGAAGGTCAATGTGGCTATCAAATTCATGCAAAATCAGAATCTTGTAAATAGTTCCTCTGTCCCATACATGAAAGCAATATTCTGTTGCTCAGTATGATATAATTCAACAAAATACACTTGATGTGGGACCACTCTTTAATTTAATCTGTTCCATGCTTTAAATTTAAGGAGCTGAAATGTTTTACTGATATTAAAAAAAATACACACACTGTATTTTCAACAAAAACCATCAGCAAATGAGAGAAAGTTATTGTGCGTAGAAATGCCAATGTAGTTAGAGGATACTTACAGTGTTTTGGTTTTCAAACAAGGATTTAGGAGCAGCTTGAGCCTTACATTTCTTCAGATATGCAGGCCAATTAAATTCATCTTCTTTATATCCTGAAGAAGCCCACGAAAGAATGAGGAAGAAAAGATAAAATATTCATTAAATCTGAGGAGCAGTTATACCAGTTGCACCCACCTCTGTTAATACTGCAACTCATTTTCATTATCTGCCCAATCATCCATTCCCAGAATAAGCTGAAAAGACATAATTTAAAAAAACCCCAACATATTATTTTGGAATATTACTGGAGGCTCCATTTGGTGTGCTAGAAGAGATACTATTTATGTTTCTCCTGAAAGCAATGCCAAGGCAGAGAAACTAAAAGGAAACCATCTGTTTGTCTTCAAGAGCACCAATTACCCTTCTTCTAGAAAGAGAAGAGCATCTGCAGATAACATGTATTCACAAATTCTGTTCAGCCCTTGCAGCCAACAAGATATAAAGACTGGAATTAATCATCCGTGCACTGAGCATAAATAAACTGGATCTCCTAGACAATTTGCCAAGGTCTGTTTGTACTCCTGGCAGAAAGCAACTACACAGACTAGCAACCACACAAACAATCAATCATTTTTATGGTTTCACAAGAAACTCAAATTGTGGTTTCCATGAGAGTGCAAATCACAGATTAAAAGAATGTGAGCAAAAAAGGGAGGATTGCATAAGAGCAGGGTTGATAAATGTACTGCCTCAGAGTATGCTGTTGGAAAATGAATAGCAACTGCCATTCATGAAAGACAGAAAAGATGGGGAAAGCATGTCCAAGGTGACAGTTGCCTATGACACATCAGGTCAACCCCACCTTGGGTACACCTGTTGCTTCCAACTTCCAACAGATCTCTTGAACACTACTTGGATATTGCAATAATTCAGATGTTGCCCCAATGTGCCCCATTTTTATTGGCTTCTACTCCTGATTACTTCCTTTATAATTTCATCATATTAAGCTTTACCAGGCCTATACACATAGGAAGGTAAAGATTGTATCTGAGAGCTGTGCATGTGAAAGACAGCATTCGCATCACTTCCACTTTCCCTTCATTGTCTCTCTTCCCCACCCCTGATCTTTCTTTTAGCCTCTCTCCCCAATCCTTGTAACCTCCAAATACTCTTCCTAGAGCAGGGGTCAGGGAACTTTTTAACCCTTTACCCCCTAAAAATTTTATATACGCCGACATTACCCCCTTGATTTGAAAGGATCTTGGTCACGTGCATGTCGGTCACGCGTGGCCAGTCGAGCGCCACCTCCTCCTCCGCCTGGTGGGGCCGCACTCAGTCCTTGGCCCTGCGGGGTGGCTCCCTTTCTCCGCCGGTGGGTGGCTCCTGGGCGGCTGCCAAAGAGCAGCAGGTGGCTCGCCATCCGAGGGCGCCCGCCGCCGCCTCCCGCTCCAGCTCTGGTGGCTGCTTGGCGGGGTAGCCGTGTCAGGCCTTGGCGTCAGGGCTCCTGCAGACTTCACTGTCGAAGGGCTACAACAGCTGCCACACGGAGGGCAAGAGGCTCCGCCAGGCCTGGCCAGTGCAGATGCGCCTCCAAAGGAAGCCTCGTGGCTGGATGAGCACTGCTGCTGCCCAACAGGCCCCTCCGAGAATGGGAACAGGGCATAGGGGCGTTGTCGTCCTGGTGCTAGGAGGCTGAGCCTGGCCCAGACCGGCGTCATGGCTGCCCCCCCGCTGTGATCCGCTTCTCCAGGAACTGGAAGGAGAGGCTCCTCCTGGCTGGGGTGCTCTGGGGACTCTCCCCGGCCTTGCCCTCCACCATGGCTGGCCCCACCGCTGCCTCAGCTGCCGTATGCCACCAGCCGGGGCCCATTGCCAGCCGCAATCCATCATGGCTCAGTTGAAGACAGGCCAGAGGAGGGGGCAGGAAGGGGGCAATCAGGCAGCCAGGGATTCCCCCTCTGGGCAGAGGAGGAGGAGGAGGAGGGATGGGGTTAGGGTCACGTACTCATTACCCCCAGGATTTTCATTTTTACCCGTTCCCTGACCACTGTCCTAGCGGATCAGGGACCTCCCACAAAAAAACAGAGCAGAGCTTTACGGGTGTGCAGTGTGAGAAAGCTCTTGTCTAACCATTTATTTAATTATTTCATACTGTCTTCTGTGAGAACTACCAAGGTATTCTACACTGAATTTAAATAAATGAAAACAAGGACCTAAATACTCAAAGCAGCAATAGAGCAACTACTAAAACATCTGAGCCAGCCATTAGAAAGCACTAAAAACTTAAACACACTTTCATTAAACATAGAGGAAATGAAAACCAAACTAAGCAGGAGGGCAGTGCAATCCACAATATGAAAGCAGCCAAAGAGAAAGCTCTCTTATGCTGGCCTGCTAAGAAAGTCTCTCTGAGTCACGGTGGCCTTCAAATGGGCTTCTCTCACACATTTCAATAACCTGGGAAGCTAACAGCAGAACAGATGTCCCCCTCCCCAGATAGACAAATAGAAAGGTCCTCATCTGTTTAGAATTTTCAAAGTTAAAATTATTCCCTGGAATTAATTAGTGTGGTTAATTCGTGTGGCTCTTTCAATAGTGGAGCAATAGTTTCTGCTACCTGTGTACATGGTTAGGAACCTTACTGGTTTTATTTTGCAAAAACTGTAGATTTCATACCTTTTTCCAAGGGTGACATGCTGACTTGGGTCTAAATGTAATGAAACCAGGGCATGAACAGCTGTTTCCAAATGGAAACGCTGCAGGCAGTGTACTACATATAATTGTGCAAACACACTCAATAATTCATAAGGTACCCTTCTACAGTTTTGAGATGGTGATGATGATGAAGATTTCTTGCCATCAGAAGTATATTTACCTTTAGGTGGATGAAGCTTGTGCCCTGTTTTCTCACTCCAACCAACTGGGTGAATATCAGAAGAGTCAGCATTCACCCAGAAATCATAACAATCTGGGAATTCATCAAAGTGGAGTCTAATTCTATAGCCACAAACCTAAAACCATAGTGTAAAAAAAGGATAGGAGTAAATATATACTTACATAAGAGCATTCCCCCCTGCCATACACCCCCAAAAAACTTTGAAAGTTTATTAGAGAAATCCATACAGTGCAATGGTATCAATGGCTTCTAGTCGTATAGTGAAACTGTGCCTTCAAGTTGCCTGAATGCCAGTAACTAGAGAACAACAAGGGGGAGGGGGGGAGATACTTCTTGCATGTCCTGACTGCAAGTCTTCTAGAGGTCTTTGCTTGCCCACTGTGGGAAATGCTATATCCAGTAGGGCTTTCATATGTTCTTATCAATAAACTGCCCTCCCACCATTCCCCACTACCACCATCATGCTCTCCCCATGGCTTCTTTTCGTACTGACTGTAGTTGGGATTCACCTTTGCTTAGATTGAAGATTCTTCTCTTGTACCCCCAGCACTCACCTCAGCCACTGTAAGCACACAATACATAGACTGGTGCTCAGGGTCCACTCCTTCCAGTTTCATTCCAACTCTGAACCCATTTTTGTTGTATGGGAAGGACTGATACTAGAAAGCAAATGTTACATGTTACTTCAGTATAAGCATTTAGACACACACACAGAGGCAAACTATTTCATGTCTTTCCTGTTTCACAGTTATTTTTTTACTTAAAGACAGCTATGAATATATGCATCTGGAGAGTGGAAAGTGGAATACATTATCAATGTAATTTTTTTCAGGAATAATCTTATAAGCAAGTTTCTGGATTCCTGCTGGCTCCCACATGTTTACAAGCAAGAATTCATTAAATATGATATAACATCTCTATACACAAGAAACCTTACTCTTCACTGTAATTTTTAAAAGGCTGTGATAATGGAAGCCATCTTCATTTATACTGAGATAAGAGTTCTATCAACATATAGCTTTATATACCTTTTCTGCTGTAGCAAACTACACATGGCCTGTGTTTATTTTCATTTTCACAATTTATGTGAAGTATTTCGTTATCTAGACTAGAGTGTCATGTCTTATATACATGTAATTATTGCCTGAAATGTGGTGTACGCTATTTTGAGTGTCTTTGGACACAAGAACAGCACATAAATGAAAATGAAAACGTACACATGTGCACACATGTGCGCGCACGCATGCACGCACACACGCACACACACACACACCAGCAGCAGTAGATTGCATTTTTACTGCTCATTGGTATTGAGGTCCTTCAATAGATCTATCACCAAAGAATCAACCATTCACAAAAGCTAATTATATTGTGTGATGCTTAAACACACCACTGTACTCCTACTGGAATAGCACCAAGAATAGATATGTACAAAAGAAGAAAAGAACAGCTGCATATAAAGATAATCATGGAAAGTCCAGACTGCTTGATTTTTTTTTTTTTGCAATATGTACTTTATATTCTATTGTTTCCAAGACAGAAAACAGACTGACTTGAGTTTTAAAAAATGCTAGACACCTGTAACACTAAAACCATCAAAGGGAGACATTTCAACTATTATTATCAGACTATTACAGCTACATACTATTCAGGAGCAAAAACTTGTCCTGCTTTGTTCTGCTCTTGGCTGAGCTTTTTCAACTGTTTGCTCCCATATCTTCTCTAGCGGTTTTCCCACAAACAGTGATGGATTGCTTCTTCCGCAAGTTACCAATTTAGTGGCCACATCATATAGCATAAAAAAACAAATATAAATACCCAGCCCAACTTTTAAAAGGCACTTCAAAGCAGCAATCCCATATAATAAAAATAACATATAATAAAAAAAGCTTAACTGAGACAGCAGCACGTCAAATCTGCACTCAAATTAAACATTAAAAATTTGTTGAACCTGCTTTCAGCTTTTCTTGAAAGACCTTACAGAGCTGGCTAAACCTAACTCATTTGTAAGGGTAGACCAGGCGTGTGCTGCTGGCACAGAAAAGGTGGCTGTTTCTGATGTAAAAATGTCTACACAGGGCTATCTGATAAGACATAACCTGAGCAACCCACGAGACCAGCCAACACGTGCTAATCCAACAAACCTTTCCACCACTTGGGCCTGATAGAATGTGATTCCATATCTATTTTTTTTCAGCTTACTTGTCTGAGCTGAAAAGTACCAATAGTACTTAACATACAGTAATACATTTCTTTTCCATGAGATAGAAAGACTTCCTTAGCCTGAACTGCACCTTTTGTGATCTGATAAGCAAATCATTCAAATATGGAGAATCGTATTTGTACCTGTTATTGTAGAAGGTGGTCAATCATTTGCAGTTAACAATGTTTCCTTGGTTCTCAGGACAGTTAAGAGTGAACAACAACAACAACAACAAATATGGCTTCGGTTGTCCACTTGCTTATTGTAGATTCCCCCTATCCCTGGATGTAGTACTGTTGATGACCAGTGGAGGCCTGGAGTAATGTTGTTTGCTTAGGCTTTGGTTTGGAAGGGTTGGCACTGGCAGTTTTTTGTTGGGGGGGGGTTGTTTGGTTAGTTGGTTCTCTCACTGGAATCTCTAGGCCAGTATTTCCTCTCCTGTCAGTGGTATTTGGACACTCTGTTGTCCCCAGGTTTGTAGGACGACTTTGTGTAGGAAAGGAATTAGAATCTTATTTATGAGTTGCCTTCTGGTCCCTATGAGGCACAGAGGTCAGAGCCGTCGCCTTGTCCTTAGTTTTTACCTATACTGGTCTATACTGATCCCTCAAACATCTTATGGCTTCCAAATGACACACAAGTGAAATTACTCTTTGTTCTGTTGTCTGCCAACCAGTGTTACCACTATACAGTATCTGGCATATAGGAAGTATAGTGACTGCCTGAGCTCAGGCAATAAATACAATGACACTGAAGCTGGTATCCACTGAAAAGAGGCACTGAAAAGGGGTGTCCTTCAGTACCTTATTTGAATTCCTGTGCCAGCTTCAGACTGCCCTTTGGTGGCAGGATGAAAATTTATTTGGCTCAAAGGTACACTGATCTGTCCATCATGGATGCCCTTGATGGTGGTCTCACTGCTAAGGCTAAAGCCTCATGTACTTTTTAAAGAGGCAATTCTGCCATTCTATCTTCTTGATTTTTAAACGTGTCCTTCCCATCTTTGACATGCACAGAAGAGGAAACCCAACCTGTAGTCTATCTGTTATAATAGTAGTTAAGGTACTTAAAAAAACTGGTGGTTGAATCTAGCTGTTCATGGCTTTCCCTACTTTTCCCTGATCATGGCCATAAAAATGATGGATGGGGAGTGATTTTCGAAGGCTTTGCCCAAAATTTCTGGCAATTCCAGGTCTCCTGCTTGTAGTGGAATTTCTGGACATTTGAGACACAGTTTTCCCACAGCCTTTTTTGGGGGGCAGGGGGGAGATATGGCAAAATCTTCCATTGGAAAAAAGGGGACAAAGCCTGTGCCTTCTCTTTTCCCTCCTCTTCAAAACATTTCTTTCTACCCTGTCTAATAGTGGTGGGGATCTAGATCCCTCCCCCTCTCCAGAGGAATCGATCGGTGACATAACATCATCTTCCTTAAAGGACTCTGGTTCAAAATAATGAACCTTTGTTTATTTTAGATCAGTGGTTCTTAACCTTTTTGAAGGAACGCCCCCTTGAGCCATTGAGGAAGTTATCATCACCCCCCTCCCCACAGTGATGATATCTTATTTATTTATTTATTTATTTATTTATTTATTTATTTATTTATTTATTTATTTATTTATTTATTTAAGACACTTAAATCCAATGACCCCTGA